GAGCATATTGCCCCTCGCTGAGAACATAAAGAGCAGTGCTACACCCTTTTTTCACTTGTGGCTTTCAGGTGAACGACAGCGACCGACAGACAAGAACAAAACCGACCCGGGAAACTTGGGCAAAATCCTCGATCCTGTGTATCAACCCGTGAATCCGTGAATCCGTGAATACGATATGTCCGTGAATCCGTGAATCCGTGAGGTCATACGATATGAATTTGAAGTACAGGATAAGAAATTGCAGGCGCTCAGTATTCGCACAGTTGAGTTGAATTTTCGAAAGCTACGACGTGCCCTGATGGACTAGAGCAATCGAGCAATCCAGTTCAGAGCACCAGTCCAAACGTCTTAGCCCCATTTAGGCATCCCGGGGTCTCAAAGGCGTTTGAAATCATTCCACCAGAGTTTTCCGCCAGAGGTATGACTTCTTCAGCCGGCAATAAAATTTGGTGAGCTGCACAAATAAAAATGCAGAATAATTTTAAGGTTTTCGGTTTTGTCACATACTCAACGAAATGTAAAATTACGACACAAGACGTTCCACTCCACTCGCAAAGGCTTCGCAGCTAAGAACATTGTGCTGCTAATGAGCCCTGCAATGGCATTTGTGAGCAGATTAATAGGAGCCAAGCTGAAATGAGGCCCTCGAAATTGAGATATTTCTAAACGTAAGTTTCCAATGTAATAATTCTAGTTCAAGTACATACTTAGGTGGTGTTTTTCAAGTATTTTCTCCCGAAAAACTACTCAAATTTATCATGCAACCCCAGTAGACAGGTCCTGGCTATGAATTTCAGAGGACAGCGGGTTATTTCCTCATCTGTCTAATCTCGGCTTTGATGATGCTACAGGTGACTCTCCCGCTGTTGACGCCTCGGTGAACACAAGGAGATGTGGGCCCAGCACATTTGAACGGGTCAAATTTAGTGGCCCAGATTACATACAGCGGAGTCTGTCCTGCGCTTATGGGGTTTTCAACAGTGCCACAACTCATTGTACCTTCAAGTTATAACTGCAGTCCCTGATTTTCGTGGCTAGGTAGATGGGTCTACATGGTAACTTGGGCCATAAATATTGTCTGACGGCCCCAAACCACAACACCAGTTGGAACTGTTGGTCTCCATATTCAGTGTACAAATCTTACTGGCCTAGCGCTGTTACCATAACTGCAACCCATTAGTGAGCAGGCGCGTGCTAAATCTTATCAGGCTCAACAAACCGATACTTCGTACGTAAAAAATCCGTCTGAGCACACACAGGGAAACCCTCTGTTCTCGCGAGCGCAGCTCGTCTGTTCACTTGATGTTGCCGGTGTGGGCGATTCCAGGTCTGATATCTTCCAAACCGCCAGAATTGGGTCCCTTATGTGCTACATTTACCCGCTCCATGTACACACCCCACAACTCTGAGCCTAATTTCCTGAACAGTATTGGGTGGACTAGCTTCCCAAATTACCCTACCATCATGTTCAGGTTGCACTTTGGTTCCACTTTGTAATTTGTGATCTCTCACCTCCATAGCTTCATCGATTCCGCTAATAACAGACAACACCAGAATGAGCATTCTAACAACGAGTTTACACACACTGCTAGCTTTGTTGTTACCGGAACACCCACATGGTTGATTGTCCGTCACACTTCTGGTAACGCATTGGGGTCACGGGGTTTTTTCCTTGCGACGGGATAAAGAATTCCATCTACTGGTTCAGTGATCAATCATTTCCTGCATGTTCACCTACCCACTACACAATGTTCCGGTTCATCCCGTCAGGGCATAATGCTTCCAGTTTTGACGCCCCTTCAGTCTGCTCCAGGTTACGGAATTAACCAATAATTTACAGGCCGCCACTCTCCACTGGTGAACCTATGTTTAACCAGATAATTTGCGCATGCGGCGGAACGAATCTAGTGCTCCTTCAATTATTCCTTCTGCAGACATAAAATGCATTGATTTTGCCCCGAGGGATATGTAGCCATTTGGATTCCTACAGCTTCGTACCTGGAAAAGTTTCGATTTTTCCCATTCCTCAGGCTTCTGTAGTATCAATTTTTAAATGACCGGAGGTGTTGGGATTAAGGATGATTGCCCTTTGTGCACGAGAGTGTGCAGCACACCCAACGCTTTTACCTCAGTGTCATCAAGAGTAGGCACCGACCGTTCTACTTCCGACTGAGTGCGGTTTGCCTCATCTAAACACCCCTCCTGCCGGTTCTTCACTGCATGGTGTTCAATGCATCCTGCAGTTGCTATGACGAAATAATAAGTAGGCAAGCTGGCTCCATTCTGGTTGCTATCTTCCTCCTAGTTAATTGCCTCTCGGAAACCCATGACCGTGATACACGCAGTTTTTTTCAGCACTTGCTTCGCCAACAGTGCAAACTTTTTCTATCATATCCGTCCATCATTGGCTATAGTCCAACTTTCTCTATTCTCCAGCCAATTGTTTTGCCCAAGGTCATCGGGGTCTACATCCCTTTCAATACAATCACTCTTGATCCACTGGTCTAATCTTTCAGGTGTGTGCGTAACTTTTACATGGATGTGCGGCACAGCCCTTCCCGATATTTTTATCAAACATATTTTCGCTGGCTATAGTGGGTTCCTACGGACGTCTAGGCTTGTCTGGAACGGCCTCGTCATGATGATGCGTTTAAAATAGATTCAGGGTTCTGTTTTTTACTTGGCGGGGGTACATTGTCCCACGTAGCAGGGCCCGAGGACCATAGTGGCATGGTCGCCTCCGCTCTTGAGCTCTACTGGTATCACAACCGTCGGCGGGTCCTGGGGATTCCAGGGAATAAAAAATCCGGTACCCCTGCTACGTGCCAAAAAGGCTTTTAACCTGCTCGCATATATAGTAAGCGTTCTCCTCACGAGCACCCCGAGCAACAGCTCACTTGCAATAATAATTACCCACGCTAAATATGTGCCTACCAGTGGATGTGCGGAAACTGAATAGCCTTGTAACCTGCACCAAGGTACGGCCCACCTCCTTGCTGAAAACGTACATCATCCACATAGCCGCGTTACCCGGGCCTTTGTGTTAAATAGCCATTGGGGCTTGGATTCAGCAACGACAAACGCCCTCTGTCGAAACCTCGCACGGCAAGTCATTCTTGTCCTCAAAAGCAATAATTTTGTGTCCATCAACAGAATAATCCACATTTCTACCTTGAAACAGTGCGTTTTTCTTGTATATTATCGTCTGCAGAATGATCCCGCGGAACACCTGATAACTCTTATGCTGCTATCATGGCAGGGGTCCTCAGAATCGATAACTTTGCAAGGGTCGCCGTTGTTGAGAGTCATTATCCGTGTCCTCCAGTTGACGGAATAGCGTCAATTTTTTCTCGTAAAGAGCACGTCTGGTTGTTTGTCCTTTCTTCTGCGTTGTGCTGTATCCTCCCAGCTTGCTAAGGTCTGATGAAGCCGCAATCAACATACTCCCTTCAAGCTCGGATACTTTCGTTAGCGTCAATTTTTTCTCGTAAAGAGCACGTCTGGTTGTTTGTCCTTTCTTCTGCGTTGTGCTGTATCCTCCCAGCTTGCTAAGGTCTGATGAAGCCGCAATCAACATACTCCCTTCAAGCTCGGAAATAATCCTTTCGTACATATATATATATACGAGATCATTAAACACCCACTACAATCATACAAGACTAGTGCCAAAAGGTTTTTCGCCATGTACCACTTATTAACTGAAGCTGATGAGTGTTTCGGGAATTGTTGATCATTTCTCTTATATTGGCTTTCCCTCCTCGGATATGACACTGTCCAATTCATATAACAAATTCCAGATAAACAAGCCTGTCTTTTCGGAAGTCTGCCCCAGATACCTCTCCATACGTTTGATTTCCCTAGCCACACAAGCTCCCTGCGCTGTTATACCGGTTTACTATAGACCTCTTGTAATTTAATGTCATATCATACCCAAGCTTGACCGCTAATCTACTAAGGGCAAATCCACTCCCATCCTGTCACATTCTATCAGTTGTTTTCAACACCCACATTTTTTACCCCCTAATAAAGCACAATATCCTGGCTGATGGCGTTACTCATCTTATGGCATTTCCTCATCTTCTCAGGCTTTGGCCTTCGGGAACACCTAGTGTGGAAGCCCTGTTTGGCTGTCATCTTCTCAAGCTGCCCTGTGATCCCCAATCGGATGAAAAACTTGCAATCTTATATCAAATCTGTTATACCTCTGCGGATTTCCTCAACCAACCTGGAAAAATCTGGCCACTTAAAGAAGTGCGCATTCCAGCCAAGTGACATTGAGTATGACGTCCGTTACAAGCCTCGCAAGGGCACGATACCGCCACACCAAGGTTGACGGCACATGGGCAACCATTCCCTTCCCAACCTCGATCTTCTCGCTCACTCGTCTCGGATTCACAAATTCACCGATTGATACACAGGATTGAGGCTTTTTCCCACGTTTTCTGGGTCGGTTTTGTTCTTGTCGGTCAGTGGCACAAGTGAGGCACAAGTGAAAAAACGGGTGGGACACTGCTCTTGATGTTCTCAGCGCGGGGCAGTATGCTTGCCAGCGCGAGGATTTGCATAAACAAGTGTCTAATATTGCTTTAGTGTCTAATAGTGCTTTAAACTGGGTTCTACAATGAGCGTGAACAACCGTCGGAGGAAGGTCATTCCACGCAAACCACTACCCGAAATGATAAAAAATTTTGTCTAATGAATGTGTGTGCTCTGAGCTTGAAAGTTTTCCTGCCCTGTCCCCGCCGTGTGCTTGCTGGGTCAACGGTAAAAAACCTGTTTGCCAAGCTTTGTTCAAACAGGGCATAAGTAAGAATTAGGTCCCATCGGAGGCGACCACACTCCAGGGGAAAGAGATCAAGCATCGCGAGACGCGTTTCGTAGTCCACGGATTTGAGGCTGGCAACCATTCTCGTAGCGGCTCGCTGGACAATCTCAATGAGGGTGACGTCTTCCGTGCGTCCTGAGTAGACAACTTGGTTGGCGTATTCCAGGAGCGGTCTGGCGTAGACCCCATGGAGTATTCGAAAGTTCATGCAAGTGATACGGGAGAAGGTGCGTCATCCGTAAAATGGCGAATGCATTTTGGGCCGATTTCTCATGGTGCACTGGAAAGGACAAGTTTGAGGAGACCTAGACACCTAAATCCTTTTTGGCGTCTATCCTCATGATGCCTTCTGGTTCTTTCTCACCATGCATAACAAAGGCATTCACTGAGCCTCCTCCAAATGTTATATGGACGCACTTTTCGTCATTCAGAGGAAGGTACAGTCCAAAGATCACTGCTTTGCGGCGTCTACATCCATTTGGAGGACACTGGCATTGGAATTCTATGACTTTGAGTCGTCCGTAAAAAGTAGACATGGAGTTGCAAGAACATCTAGGAGGTCGTTGACGTAGATCAGAATCAGCACTGGTCCCAGGACGGAGTCTTGAGGAACTCCAATGGAGACCGGCGCTGGAGAGGAGTAGGTCGAGCCTATTCTCACTCGGAATGATCTGTCTGATTGGAACGCCTTGATCCAGTGGGGTATTTTCCCTTGAATCCCGTCTAATTAACTTCAAATGCAAACAAACTTCACCTGGCCCCAGCAGCCCCCAGGACGCGCTCATTCTAATCTGCTGAACCTTTCATTCGTATTCAACGATGTCGGTGGACTTCAGTTTGTGCTCCCTATTGAAATCAATAATTTACTGAACAGTTCGATTTTGGGGTTGGGTACTTTCACCAACTCAATCTTCCTGGAAACTTCTACACCCAACCCGACTTATCAATGACACCAGTGACCCTCTGCACTTTCACTTTGCACCATGAATCTGAGATTGCTGCTACCGTTTATCCGCAATGCTAATCCCTCCACTTCACCATCCTTGCTTTCGCTTTTCCCCACTACAGCCATAAGCCCAACTGGCCTAGGTGACGAGGCTTCAGCGGCAGTTGTAATATTAGTTCAAATTGACAGGCTAGATTACGCCAATTCTGCTGTTTCACCGTAGGTGTAAATGTGCCACCAATAGGCTGAATAGTATTAAAGACGGCTGGTCAGCGCGAGAGTTATCCAAGAGGCTCAACATCATCGAAAAGTAATGCGTAGTTATACGCTTATTTGTGAAGATATTTGAGGCAAAGTAAGCGAACTCTTTGCGTCAACACAGTTTTCAAAACACGACGGCTCTAAGTGTTGCAAAACCCTAGAGCATTGGTGGTTCAGAAAAGTCCGATTAGAGACAGTACTGATATCTGCTGCGCCAGTTCATCATTTTGAAAACAGAAAGTGAAACCGTTTATTCGGCACTGCTGTGATGCCGGTCCGACATTCATGACGCACGTCCAAAATTACTCTCGTTGGATGACAAGTAGTTTTACTTTAGGAGCAAGCAAACTATTCAGCACATCGCACCCTTTCTTCAGTGGTTGCTATTAGATTCATACAATGCTGTCGCATCGCATTCAAAATACATCTTGTTTCCTTCCGGGGCCGCCATAGATATTACTGGCTTGTGCTGCTGCCTTAGACTAA